AAAATTCTCAAAATTGCACACCAAGGAAAATCGTTTTATTTTGAATTTTTGGGAGTAATTTTTCATAGGGCAAAAATTACGTGCTTACACCTGGTTCTCCTTCCTGTGGTTCACTGGGGGTACCTCAATTTCCAGAATTAACAAGCCCAGAACAAGGATTCTCCAATGTATTGTTATTAGGTGTGGGTGTGGGTGGTGCAACAGGTAATCGACTAACTAGAGCTTGAAGAGCTTTGTTAACCCGTGCGTCAATTACTTTTTGCAAAGCTTCATCTGCCCCTTCAAAATGTTCAGAGTGTTCCTGTTCATCAGCACGAGATTCAGGAGCAGGAGAAACTTCCCGAGATTGTCGTGGCGAATCTTGGGGGGAAGGAACCACATTAATGTTTTGTAAATCTCCTTGATTTTGCTGGATTTGATTCTGGGTTTCCCAAGATGTTACCACTGTTTGTTGTTGTTGATGTTGTTGTTGTTTGACATGATGATAACAACAGGTAGAATGTAACTTAAAAAGAATAGATTATCAGATTTCCGGTAACGAAACCAATTTGTTTAACCAAAAAATTAAATATTTGGTTAAAGCTAGAAATTAAGAGAAAAATCGGGTTACTGATAATCAAAAAATGAGAGACTTTGAGAATAACAATAAAGCAATAGATAAGTATATATTTCAGTATAATCTTAGTAATTTTTTCGTGTGTCTACAAATATTGAGACCTTCTCCTTTTATAGTTGATTCTAGAAGAAAGTGTAATGCCTTTGTCTTAATGAGACAATTATGAGCAATAAATGATATTAAAAGAAACGTTACTCAATCATTCCTATTAAATACAAATTCTCTAACGTATTTGGCATTTAATGCTGAATTTGGACTCTTTTACGTTATCAGATTCATTTCTTCAATTCCTTCTGATCTTCGAGCTTTAAATGACTCGAACAAGTACGAGTCTCATTTCATTTGAGTAATAGCTCGTGCCTTTAAGTATCTTCTCTCCCGCATCTGTTGTCGCCCGTGCCTCCTGACTGATTACCACGCATTGACCATTTGACCAGTCCACGTGTCATGACACGTCATCTTCAATATATAAATTCAGTTTTTTCCCAATACAGTTAGATAACCTGAAATCCCCCAAATCCCTTTTATTTAGATCACTTGTTTTTCTTTTTAATCCACTATTTCTAGAAAATACTATTAATGTGAATGTTAAAGGTACTAAACTATACAAATTATTCATGGAATATTTTTAATTGGCATTGCACTCACTTCTCTTCTTGTGATAGTGGTTTTGAAATTGGTTTAAATTTTTTATAAATTTTCAACCATATACACACCGCAGAATTATGTGGGTCTATTTGTTATGTATACGCAGCTACTCATCATGTATGTACATATATATTTGAATATATTTTATACTTGTCTAGTTAATATAGAGCTCGGTCAACTAACTTAAGGAGTGTACAATGCGTAGATATTTGATTAAAGCAAAGTTAAATTCGATAATGAAAAATTTCCAAAGAACTTCAACTTCTATCACTAATACTTTCAAAATCTTCGTACCTTTGATTTTGATAGAACGAATTCATTAAAGGATGTTATAAATACTTTTGAAATTTAGAGAAGCTATCTAAATTTGATTCTTCAATTTACTACTTTGTTTATTAACCATTGTACTATTTTAATATTTTTTTTCAATTAAGAAATCATATAAATGCCAATTATTTTGAAAATAATGTATCACGAAGAAGAATAAGTGAGTTAACTAANCATACAGTTCAAAGAAAACCCAATAAACAATAGTTCTAATCAACTGGAGTAAGAGATTAAGAAGCTTCACAGAAATTTCCTACTACTATTTATATTCAATAAAAAATTGTACCACATATAATACTATATATATGTATAGTATTATATATATGAGTTGACTAGATCCAATAACAATAATTTTATTCAACTGGAGTACAGCCCATAGCTTTAGAATCTTTCATATATGAAGTGTAATTGCTTATGCTTCTCTCCTGTATATAATTTTTTCCTGAAATATCATCAGCTGATCTCTTACCACGACCACACTTTATCCAGAGTTCTTTTTGTTTTCATATCAACCAATTAACTGAATCCATGGCATCTTCTTCTTCTTTCGCGAGTAATTCACAGCACTGTCCTCGATGGAAGTACGATGTTTTCCTAAGTTTTAGAGGTGAAGATACTCGCAAAACGTTTACAGGGCACTTATATGAAGGCTTGAGAAATGGGGGAATATTTACCTTTCAAGACGACAAAAGGCTAGAGCATGGCGCATCCATCTCAGAAGAACTTTGTAAAGCTATCGAAGAGTCTCAAGTTGCCGTCATCATTTTCTCAAAGAATTATGCTACATCGAGGTGGTGCTTGGATGAACTAGTGAAGATTATGGAATGCAAGACTCAATTTGGACAAACTGTCATACCGGTCTTCTATGATGTGGATCCATCACATGTTCGGAACCAAAGGGAGAGTTTTGCAGAAGCATTTTCCAAACATGAATCAAAGTTTAAGGATGATGTTGAGGGAATGCAGAAGGTACAAAGATGGAGGAGTGCTTTAACTGAAGCGGCAAATCTCAAAGGTTGTGATATTCGTGCCAGGTGAGTTAAAAACACATTAGCTGGAACAGAGGGAATACTTTGCATTCAAAATCGGATGCTTCATAGCTGGAACAGAGATAATACTTTGCATTCAAATTTGGATGCTTCTATGAAGACTAGCTATACATATTCTATACCTCAAAAATGAGTTAAACAGAATCCTTAAATAAATTTTTCATATTTTCTAAAAGAAGATTGATGGTTGATTATATATGCTTCTATAAGTAAGAAGACGTAGCTTATCAGTTTAATTACTCAATTATATTGTTACATAGATACTATTTTGATTGGTTCTTCAAGAGTTTGATTTATGTGTCCTTTTTATCATTATTATGCACTATACAGTGTGAAAACTTCTTGTTATTGACTTTCTTACCTGTATATATCAACAATGTTCTTATTTTTTGTAGGATTGAATCAGATTGTGTTCAGCAAATCGTTAACCAAATTTCCAAGTTATGCAAGTTTTCTTTGTCTTACTTGCAAGATATTGTGGGAATAAATCCACATTTAGAGGAAGTAAAATCCCTACTACAGATAGAAATCAATGATGTTCGGATTGTGGGGATCTGGGGCATGGGAGGAGTTGGTAAAACGACAATAGCAAGGGCTATTTTTGATACTCTCTCATATCAATTTGAAGGTACTTGTTTCCTTGCGAATGTTAAAGAAAACAAATGTGGAATGCATTCTTTGCAAAATATCCTTCTCTCAGAACTGTCAAGGGAAAACGCTAATTACGTGAATAATAAGGAGGACGGAAAGCAGCTGATGGCTCGTAGACTTCGTTCTAAGAAGGTTTTAGTTGTGCTTGATGACATAGATCACAGAGACCATTTGGAGTACCTAGCAGGGGATCTTGGTTGGTTCGGCAATGGCAGTAGAATTATTGCAACAACAAGAGACAAGCATTTGATTGGGAAGAAGGACGCATTATATGAAATGACTACACTAGCTGACCATGAAGCTATTCAATTGTTCAATCGATACGCTTTTAAGGAAGATGTTCCAGATGAGTTCTTTGAGAAGCTAACGCTGGAGGTAGTAAGTCATGCTAAAGGCCTTCCTTTAGCGCTGAAAGTGTGGGGTTCTCTCTTTCATAAGAGAAATATAACTGAGTGGAGAAGTGCTATACTGCAAATGAAAAAACACTCTAATTCAGAAATTGTTGACAAGCTCAAAATTAGTTATGATGGATTAGAGCCCGTGGAACAGGCGATATTTTTAGATATAGCATGCTTCTTACGAGGGAGAGAAAAGAATGAGATCATACAGATTCTTGAGAGCTGTGAATTTGGAGCTGATATCGGATTGCGTGTCCTAATTGACAAATCTCTTGTGTTCATCTCCGAAAAAGATACGATTGAAATGCATGACTTAATACAAGATATGGGTAAACATGTAGTGAACATACAAAAGGATCCGGGAGAACGTAGCAGACTATGGCTCGCTGAAGATTTCGAAGAAGTGATGATCAACAATACGGTAAGTAGGCTAAACACTGCAGTAATATTCAATTTCTATTTTTCATATCCCAAAGTCATAAAGGGTCAGTCAGTTTCAATTAGATGTTCTTCTTGCTTCATATTCTTGCACAAAAGTCATTTTAATTGTTTGTTTTAGTAAGAGAAGAAAAAGTAACATTAATTGCCGTCAAAAAGGCACTTAGCGTTGCCTAATCCGTTATACTGATGTTATTAAGCCATGAATTAGTCTAGTAGCCACTTAATCTGTTTAATCCATCATTCTTCTGATTAACTTGAAATTTGTATGACATTTTATACATATATAATAACTCAATAGGTGTCACGACCCAAAAATCTCTCCAAAGGAGTTGTGATGGCACTTAGTCTCTAAACTAGGTAAGCCTAATATTAACTGAAATAACATTGATATTTATTAAGTTAAAATGGAATTTCTCTAAACAATTTACCATCCCCAAAACCGGTAGTACAAGTCATAAGCTTTTCTAAGAGTAGTTATATAAAATAAATACATCACAGTTCCGAACAAAAGGAACATATGAAAATAAGTACAAATTGAAGGTGACTCCGAGGACCGCGAAGGCTGCAACAGGTTTACCTCGAGTCTCCACTGCAACGAACAGCTACTATCGATCAAATACCTGGATCTGTACACAAAAATGTACAGAAGTGTAGTATCAACACAACCGACCCCATGTGTTGGTAACTGCCTAGCCTAACCTCGGCGAAGTAGTGACGAGGCTAGGACCAGGCTACCAAATAAACATGTGCAATATAGCGTACAAAATAATAGGAAGCATATAACAATGGTGGCAACAATGATCAACCAGTAATATAAATAGCAGGCAACAAGAACAAAATAAATGTTTCCCAACAAATAATAATTACAAGTGCAATCAATTTAATCAAGTCCTTCAAATATAAATCTTTCGCCTATAAATCCTTCAAGTAATAATCTCTAAGATAATATGCTTTTCAATAAATATATTTCGAATATATTTCCTATCGAGTAAAAGTCACCTTGTGATGCCTCATTTCATAATCATAAATAATATAGGGCTTAACCCACTTTCATAATTTCACGACACCTCGTGCCCACATATTTCTGTCTCATTTTGCGCAACAATATCCTCATATTACTCAGTTAATAGGTTTCATAACCCAATACAATTAAGAATTCTCAAGGAGCCTCATTCACTTAACATAAAGTAGAGTACATCTGCCAACCCAAATATGAAGTTAACAAGAACAGATGAAGTTATTTTTAGAAATCATTTGATAAAGAAAATACCCTTTTAAATTAAAGTACAATATCGAATGAATTATTATTATCTTTAATACGAGAAATCAATAAATCAAAACATAGAAGAAATTCCCTTTTAAGTAAAGTACAACCTCAAACGGTTTAAGGAAAATTAAGTTGAAAATCAATTGAGTTAAAAATGTAACAATTGTTGAAATTTAAAGTATTGAATATATATAAAACAATAGGGCGAGGTATTGTCACCCCTATGAATTCCCACACAAAGGATCACCGTCGTAAAGGAATCTAAACCATTAAAACACTTGAACTGATAACAACAATTACAACGGAGACAAAATAATCACGAAAGGAGTACAACTCAATGCATAGATAACAACCGGGGATCTCACAGGATACCGTCCTGTAGTCCCAAATGTAAATACTCGGGGATCTCTCAGTATCCTCCGTATATGAGCTAGGGATCTCTTGGTATCTCGAGGATCTCTTGGTATCCTCAATATATGAGCTGGGGATCTCTTGGTATCCCGAGGATCTCTTGGTATCCTCAATATATGTGTCGGGGATCTCTTTGTATCCTCAATATATGTGCTGGGGATCTCTTGGTATCCCGAGGATCTCTTGGTATCATCAATATAAGAGTGCAGGGGGATCTCCCGGGATATCGTCTCGTAGTCCCAAAGTAAACAAACAACGCAACGAACAGAATCAACAGTTACATCACAACAGAAGGATCGAACATCACCGCAATACATATAACAACAACAAATGACAATAATACAAGGTAAGACAAGTAAATCAACTCAGGGGCTGTAAATCACAAGAAAATGGTAGAACCAGCTCAAGGGAATAACCATAGAAACGAATACGGGCATAAAATAAACAGTTCAATAACGGGAAAACTAACACGTAGCAACGATCCCACAATATACAAGTCAATAATAAGGAAATCAACACGAGTCAAATAGTTATGAAAATGTAACATAACAATAGGAAAGGCAAAACTCTTCAGTTAAGTCAAATATGAGTCACATTAATCAAAGTATAAGACTCACGGGCATGCTTGACACCAACGTTTAGATACTCGTCACCATGCCTATACGTCGTACTCGACAAATAACACATAACAATTATGACACAACTCCTAATCCCTCAAGCTAAGGTTAGATCAAACACTTACCTCGCTTTGCAACCAATTTAGTTCACTAGTAGGCCTTTTCCTCGATTATCCAACTTTGAATGGCTTGAATCTAGCCAAAAATAATTCGATACAGTCAACAAAATTATAGAAATCGATCCCATATGAAAATATTAATTTTTCCAATAAAATTCGAAATTAACTCAAAAATCGCCCGCGGGGCCCACGTATTAGAATCCGGCAAAAGTCATGAAATATGAACGTCCATTCCAATACAAATTCAACCATACCAATTTTATCAAATTCCGATAACGAATCGACCTCCAAATCTAAAATTTTCATTTTTGAAAGGTTTACAATTTTTCTCCAATTTCTTCCATTTGATTCACTAATTTTTGATGAAAATAACCATGGAATCATTAAAAATAATCACTTTTGGATATAGAACACTTTCCCCAATCCATATGGTGGAAATCGCTTCAATCCGAGCATAGCTCCAAAAATGAGAAGAAAACTCGGACAGCTCGATTTATACACTGTCCAGCATTTTCGCTTCTACGGTACTGTTCACCATAGGTGTGGTTTACTGTTCACCGCAGATGCGGGATCGCTGTTCACCGCAGATGCGGTACTGTTCATCGCATCTGCGAAAATACCAGCAAGTGCCCAGAAAATTGCAGCAGTTTTTTATTTCACTAAAAATGCTCTAACTCCATCATACGAATTCGGAATTCGACGATTCTTGTTCCTATGAGTCACAAATAATAATACGAACCTATTCCTTCTATCGAAACATAATTTGGAGCTCATTTGCTCAGTGCAATACCCGTTTCGCTCGTTAAACAATTAACTCATGTTTCGTGTCAAAAACCCAATCGCGACTTGATGAAATTAGACCAAACTTTCCAGATCACTCTTATAATTCATTATTAAAATTTTGGAAGTCTCGAAATCAAGTTTCGATCTCTAGAACTAAAAATGGTCCTTTGGATCACTACGTGCTTATGCTCAAAGCACCGAACTCTTCCAAAAAAATTCTTCCAAATTCATCTGAGCCCCGTGGGATCCCAATGAAGTATACTAACAAGTCCCATTAACATGACACAAACTTAGCCGATGCCTCAAATTACATTGAACGACACTAAAACATGAATCGGACCCCAATTCAAGCTTATTCAAAACTAACAAATTTCAAATTCCACATTCGATGCCGGTACCTATCAAATCAATTCCGATTGACCTCAAATTTTACATACAAGTCATAAATGACATAACAGAGGTGTTCAAATTTCCAGAATCGAATTTCGATCCCGATATCAAAAAGTCAACTCCCCAGTCAAACTTTCCAAAAATCTTCTATTTTTCCAACTTTTGCCAAAATGTGTTAAATTGTCCTACGGATTTCCAAATCCAAATCCGAGCATATGCCCAAGTCCGGAATTGCCGTATGAAGCTATTGGAGTTATCAAAATTCTATTCCGGAGTCGTTTGCTCAAAAGTCAAACTCCGGTCTACTCTTTTCATTTAAGCTTCCAAAATGAGACTTATTCTTTCATTTAAATTCTGAATCTTCCAAAAATCAAGTTCTACCACACATGCGGGTCATAATGCATATTATGAAGCTTCTCGAGGTTTTAAGCCGTTGAACGAGACGCTAATTCTTAAAACGACAGGTCGGGTCGTTACAATAGGGATTCTTGTTACCATTGAATATTTTTTTATGTTAAAAAACTGCTACAATTTATTGGTATTTTTTCAATTAATTTTTCTATCATTGCATGAAAAACTTTACTTGACTATAAAGAAGTTTTCAGAAATATATTATTACTGACATTTGAAGCTATACTTTGTAAGCTAATGATCTTTTTACCAGGGGACAAAGGCAATGGAAGCAATTTGGTTTCTTTATTTAAAAGGACTATCTTTTACCAGAGAGGGCATGAAAAATATGAAAAGGCTTAGGATATTATATATACGTGATGGGTCACAGAATATCTGGGCTGACTCCATTTGCCATAATGGCTCCATGGAGTATTTGCCCAACAACTTGCGTTGGTTTGTCTGGTTTTGCTATCCTTGGGAGTCATTGCCATCTACATTTGAACCCAAAAAGCTCGTTCATCTTGAACTCCAGTCCAGTTCACTGCGTTATTTATGGACGGAAATAACGGTATAATAGCTGAATTCTACTTTACTTTCATTTTTCTCTCTAACTATCTTTATCCTTTATTAATGAGCAAATATTATTGCTTTCACCCGTTTTATGTTTGTCCTAGAATTATGATGCACGTCTTTAAATGAAAAAAAGCTTATTAATTTCATAAACTGTAGCACTTGGTAAAGTTGTCTGTGTGTGACCTATAAGTCACAGGTTCGAACCGTGGAATCGGCCATTGATGCTTGTATCAGGGTAGCCTGCATACATCACACCCCTTGGGGTGCGGCCCTTCCCCGGACCCTGCGTGAATGCGGGATGCTTCGTGCACCGGGTTGTGCCTTAATTCCATAAACTCAAATTAATGCATTTTATTTTATTTTGGGTTGTTCTCAGAGTATTGCTCTGGCATCTTTATGTCCTTGTTTTCCAAATCTTCTCATCACTATTTTAACTAAAAAGCTCAATAAACTCATTCAAACCTTTTCTGAACAGCATTTGCCGTCTCTAAGAAAGCTAAGTCTCAGTTGCTGTGTAAGCCTAATGCAAACACCAGATTTCACGGGAATGCCAAATTTGGAGTATTTGGATTTGAGTCTTTGCAGTAATTTTGAAGAGCTTCACTACTCCCTGGGATGTTGCAGAAAACTTGTCGAGTTAAATTTGATTTGGTGTGATGGCCTTAAGAGGTTTCCATGTGTTAACGTGGAATCTCTTGAACATCTGGAACTGCATGGTTGCTCCAGTTTACAGAAATTTCCAGAAATGAAAAACCTATCATCTATTCAGTACCAAACTCATATTACCAATCTAGACTTGAGCTTCTTAACAGACCTTGCAACTCTTCCAAGCAGCATCTGTAGGTTGAAAAATTTGGTTAGTCTAGATGTGTCATTTTGTTACAGACTTGAAAGCTTGCCCGAAGAGATAGGAGATTTAGAAAACTTGGAGAATCTTGATGCTAGCAGTACCCTAATATCACGGCCTCCCACTTCCATCGTCCGTTTGAACAAACTTAACTCCTTGGCTTTTGCAAAAGGAAAATCAGATAATGGTCAAGTTGCAGTTTACTTTGTGTTCCCTCCCGTGGCTGAAGGGTTACGGTCATTGGAATTTTTGAATCTCAATTACTGCAATCTAATAGATGGAGGACTTCCAGAAGACATTGGCTGCTTATATTCTTTGAAAGAGTTGTATCTCAGGGGAAACTATTTTGAGCATTTGCCTCAAAGCATGGCTCAACTCGGTGCTCTTCGATCCTTGGACTTATCATATTGTTATAGGCTTAAAGAGTTGCCAGATTTCATGGGAATGCCAAATTTGGAAACTTTGAATCCATTATATTGTATGAATCTTGAAGAGGTTCCTCATTCCATAGGAGTTTTTGAAAAGCTCGCTGAATTGACTTTGACTGATTGTGAACGCCTTAAGAGGGTTCCAACTCTGTGGATCGATTCCCTTAAATGTCTGCAGCTAAAAAAATGCTCTAGTTTAGAATATTTTCCTGATATCCGCGGAAGCATGAAATTGGAGTTAGAGATTCACATGCTAGGCAGCGTGATAAGGGATCTTAATTCGTTCTATAATTCGTTTCAACTTACCTTGTATCAGAATGACATCTCTATTTCAGATTCCTTGTCACAAAGAGTGTTTACCATTTTGCATAAAGGGAAGAGGATTCCAAGTTGGTTCCGCATTAAGGGAATGGATAGTAGTGTATCAGTCAATTTGCTTGAAAATTGGTATGTACGCGATAACTTCTTGGGATTTGCTGTATGTTACTCTGGCTGCTTAATTGACACCACAGCTCACTTGATTCCCTTTTGTAATGATGGGATGTTGGCGATGACCTTGGAACTAGGTTTTTTCTACCATTTAGAATGTGATGAGGAATCTACTATTCATCCTTTTAAAAAAAAATGGGATGGAGAATCTACTATTCATTTTTTCTTGGTACCTTTTGCTAGTTTATGGGATGCATCTAAGGCAAATGGCAAAACACCAAATGACTATGGGATTATTAGGCTATGGTTTTCTGGAGCAATGAAGGAGTTTGGATTTCGTTTGTTGTATAAAGATGAACTTGAGATCGAGGCCTTGTTACAAATGAGGGAAAATAATGATGAGTCAGCAGAACGTTGCACTGGGATAAGGAGGAGCAGATATGACAATGAAGCCAGTTGCTCCTCTGGTAAGAAACAAAGGTCACATTCTAATATTCAGGGCAGCTCTGTCTTTGAGAATTTGCAGCAACAAGTAGAGCCGCCAGTCTCTTCAGAAATTTTGAGGCTCAATCGTTCATTCCCAGAAATTTTTCCTAGTTGGCGGTGAAATTGTGTTCTCGCTTTTTATGTAATTCTCTCCTTCTATTAGCTACTGTCTTCTTTCAAACCAATAAACTTTTTATTTTTCATTCTTTCTTACTTTTTCCTTTTTCGTTTTCTTTCCCCTATTACAGGAGCTCATCAATGGGTGATGTACATATCAACAATGAGTTTTTTCAATTGATTCTCCATCTTGTCTCCGCTTGTTTTGACCCATGATTAACCATGGTGAGTTAAAGGATTCCAACAAGTATAATTTTCCATGATTAACCATTCTCATTGTCAGCTTTTTCATTTGATTTCTCTGCACCATGCTACATGTTTGATCTAATTAAGGTTGCGCTATATATCTTCAAGGTCATGAAATTAATACTAACATATGGTTTATGCTGCATTTTCAATTTTGCGACATATGGTCTTTCAAGATCTAATTAAGGTTGCGCTATATATCTTACCATATCAAACAATATTATTGAAAATGTTGGTTTATGTTTAGT